CGTCGACATATGAAGCGCCGGTTCGCTCATGTGCCTAGCGTGTATGCAACTAGCAATTGCCTCGTCGTCCAGCCATGCTGAAGTCAAATATAAGTAATTAGACATATTGGAAATTAAACTCTGTTAGTAGTCGGTCAAAGGGCAGTGAGTTTTATTGATTAAAGTTCAACAGTGCTAATAGTGACGATTTTAGCGCAGTAAATCGAGACGATGAGTGATTTAGACGTAAGCCAAGCCAAAATTTGCCTTGTTAGTAGGTATAAAGAAATTATATTCGGTAGGGTTTTTTACACGTTAAGCGTAGATGTATATGCGTGTGAAAAAACACGGCTATTATAGAAGTGAGACAATTTGCAATTTGCTCTATACTGGGTGCAAGTTGAATAATACAATGTCATGCTTAACAAATAAAAAAATAATGTTTGTATTCTGCATAGATAAGTTAAATTTAAATGTATATACATAATTTATATTCGTACGTATTGGCATTATATCGGCGGACGTTTATGCGGAGCTTCTCTTCGATTTGTGGTGCGCGTCTGGAGGTGGGTTCACAAAAAAGATAGGCCTTTGGCTTTACGCCTCCTCCGAACGCAAATGATTTTATTAGGAAAACATTTTTTTGATGCTGCTCGGACGAGGGATCGAACCCTGTACTTGTCGAGTGGTAGTGCCACTTCTAACCTCTTATATGGAGATAAGAAATATTAAATGATAACACGTTTGTAATTTCCATGCAGCCAATTAAAAGAATTTGAGATCTGGTGCATTAGTTTCCATAAATGCTTTTGAATTTAAAATAGTTGTGCGCACATACATACATATTTACATACAGTGAAAGCTCCAATAAGCGGACACCGATGGTCACCTACTTTTTGTCCGCCTATGAGAGATGTCCGCTTATGGGAATTTCGTAAAAAATAACATTAAAATTCAAATTTAAAAAATTAAAAATTCAGGTTTCTAAATTAAAATTGCGAGAATTGTGCCGAATGCAAGTCGTTTTTTGAGGGTCGAATCGTATCGAAAATATCACGTTATTTCACGCATTTCCACTCGACTAGTGTATTAATACGGAAAAACTTGGCAGCACTGCATATTTTTCGACGATTTTCGTCGTTTACTTATTTCAGCACGGCAGTAGACAGTAGCTCTGATCTTGAACTCCATGAACTTACTGGTTTTACACGAACTTGCAGGAAGTTACAGGAAAAATGATCCCGTACTCCAAATTCCTTCAAAATCCTGTAAATGAGAGCGATTTTCGGAGAGTTGTGTAGAGAATAAAGTTGCCAGATTTTACCCGAACTTTTTCTTCTGGTAAAATCATGAAAAGTGTCAAGCGATCGGCTGTTTGACGTTTTTACAGAAAAAATGCTTTTTTGTTCCCGTACTTTTTGGTTGTTACTCACCTTGTACTCTCACTTTATTTATTTATTTACTTATTTATTTATTTATTTATTTATTTTATTTTCAATCTACAGTACAAAGTACCTTACAGACTAAAGAAACAGTAATAAATTATATTTAATACATACTTATCAAATAATAGAATTTAAGATCAACACAAAGTTAGATCTTGATAAGGAAAAATCAATTAATTTAAAAGAAGATAAGTCATTAAATTCTTTTAAGGCACGCGTAATAGGTGCATTACTTTCAAAATTAGTTCTGCAACTAGCAACGTAAAAAGGAAGAAAGCTTCGCAGATTTCTTTGCGGAACGTTAAAATTTATTCGCTCTAGAAGAGTTGGACAATCGACATTGCCATTAACTATATTGAAAATAAACGAGAGAGCTAGAATGGACCTTCTTTTCTCTAGAGAGCATAGATCAATAAGCAATAGCCGAGATTGGTACGGTGGCATTGGATCCTCGAACCGTAAAGAACGCAATGCATGCTTTAGAAATATCTTTTGAACCCGTTCGATCCTATTTATCGATTGTTGATCATAGGGTCTCCAGATAATTACTGCATATTCTAAATTGGAGCGTACAAGAGAAGTAAAAAGAAGCTTAAAAGTGTATGGATCAGAAAAATCAGTGGAACTACGTCGAATAAATCCCAATACCGAATAAGCCTTTGAAAGAATGAAATTTATGTGATTATTAAATGAAAACTTTGACTCGAAAACCACTCCAAGATCTTTAGTCTCTGAAACTTTGTTTAAAACACAGTTATCAATAAAATAAAGGGTAGATGTAGCATTAAGACGCCTAGTATAAGTTAAGTGAAAACACTTAGCAATGTTCAACGACAGCCGCGACTTTTCACACCACAAATGAAGACTATTCAAATCACTTTGAAGCTTACTTGAGTCTTCCATATTGTTAACCATCGTAAAAATTTTCCAATCATCAGCAAAAAGAAGATAATTTGAAAAGGTAAAACAACTTCCAATGTCATTTATAAAAAGAACAAAAAGTAGAGGGCCTAAAATGCTACCTTGAGGAACCCCAGAAGGGACAACAAAAAAGTCCGAAGTTGAGGAATCAATTGAGACAGCACAACGACGATTGGATAGATATGACGTTATCCATTGCAAAACGGATGAATGGAAGCCAAGGCAAGCTAACTTAATGATCAGAATCCTGTGGGAGACTCTGTCAAACGCCTTAGAGAAGTCAGTATATATGCAATCCACTTGCGAGCCAATCGAAAACGCTGAGGTGCAAAAATCGCTAAATACCATTAAGTTAGAGACTGTCGAGCGCCCAGAAATAAATCCATGTTGGTATGGGCTTAGTAATGATTTTACAGCGAAACAGATTTTGTCCTTAACAACACTTTCAAACAGCTTCGAAATATTTGATAGTTTTGCAATTGGCCTATAATTACGAACATTACTTTTACTACCATTTTTGAAAAGTGGCGTAATTGTTGTTATCTTCCACTCATTAATAAAAATACCGGAAGAAAGGGATTTGTTGAAAATCAAGTGTAAAGGATATGACAACGCTGGGCAGGCTCTTAAAAAAAGAGCTGATAGGCCGTCTACGTCCGATTTTGGCGAAGTATTGAGAGAAAGCATCGCCCTTGAAACTTCATCAGAGGATATATGCAAAGTCCCTAGATTAATAGAAGGGGGGTATTTCAGATGAAAAGTCAGGAGAAATCACATCGTCTTCAACAAAATTAGAGACAAAATATTCCGCAAAAAGATTAGCGGCCTCAACAGGAGTATTAGCCGACTTGTTATCTAAAAATAATTAACTAGGTATACTAGAAACTTTTTTCGATTTTACGAAGCCCCAGAAAGATTTCGGGTTAGCTTTAGAGAGAAGTTTTGCTGTTTGACATATTTACAGGATTTTACTCGAAAAGTATTGGATCAGAGCTAATATTTATTCTTCAAAAGACAGAAACAGAATGACTTAAAATTATATAAAAATGTATGACGTTTTCTTTTCTTCCGACAAATCTCAATGCCTGCTTCGCTCAAGCAGCACGAAGAGGGCAATGAAAAGGCAACACTTTTTCTAGAAAAGAAAATATCTTTGAATAAGGAATATACCCTGCCAGCAGAGAAACGTACTTTTTGCCGAAAGTGCAGTTTTCGTACATTTTTCGTTTCCGGAAATGTTCATAAAACGATTTTCATTTTAATTTTTTGTTCATTTTTCGTATCCGAAAAATATCATCATCTTATTTCAAAACAATAATTTTAAAATATTTGTTCAAACTGAGCATTTGAAAACATGTATACTTATTCGCCAGTAGCTAAGTGTGCAAAGAAGTGTCCCTGCAAACCAAAGTTCCCGAGATTTTAAGGAAATCGCTAGGAGTATCTCATTTCTGTAACGATTTTTTTCCGAATCTTCAAAGAAAATTATATGAAGTGGTTGACACGAACTCGTAAAGAAATTTCTTTACGAAAAATAAAGAAAATTCTGAAAAAAGTCTGCAAGAAATTCTTCACATAGCAGCATTATTTTCATTTCTTCACCGATTTTCTTCCGAAATTTCGTAAAAGAATGGAAGTGTGCGTAATTTATTTAATTTTAAAAAATTCGGAAAAAAATCGGATAAGATCTTTCCGAATTCGTTAAAATTTCTTTACGATTCAGAATACTCTGAAAAAGTGGTTTGCAGGGGTGCTACTATTTGATAGCTTTCAGGAGGTTCCAGGTTCGAATTCCATCAGAAGCAACACATTAAAATTAGTTATTCAAATTGAAATAATTGCTGAATCTTAAATTTGTTTTTTGTTTGGCTTCCTGTAACTATGAAAAAGTTTCTGTGAAGTTCATAATGAAATCGTTTTCAACGAAAAATTTCATCAGACAAATTTCAGGAAAACAGCTGAAAGCGCATCCGTTTTACAATCATTTTCGATAGTTTTCTGCACATACGTTTCGGATGAACACTTTAGTGTCAGAATTGATCTGAAAAACGTCCGAAAACGGAATCGGAAAACGGATGAAACATCAGGTTTTTATACGAAATTGGTTCCATTTTCGGATACGTTTCCGGATATATTTTTGTGTACATATACATTCATATGCATAAGCGCAAGAGTCAATATCTGACTGAAAAAATTGACCGCTTGTTAGAGCTTCGCGTCCGCTTATGGGAGATTTTTTTTCATAACTGGACATTTTTTCAGTGTCCGCGTCCGTTTATCGGAAAGTCCGTGTATGGGAGAGCTTTTGAAAAAAACACAAAAAATTGTTCGCTCCCAGGAATGTACATACTTTCAGATATTCGTGTACACGGGGAAAATCCGAATTACAGGTTAATATCCGTTCATCGGTTACTCGGATATCCGGATATTTTAAATGGTATTTGTAGGGATTCGTAAAAGTGCTCTCAAAGTTATTTAATCTAATTGCTATTTATTATTAATTTTGAGATTCAAATACCCGCATGTTTATAACACATTATTTAAATATCAGAATATATAAACTATTCGTACATTCGGAACATCACATGTGCAATTTATATTATTTATTGCTTCCATTTATTAAGTATTTAATTAATCTGCTTTCTCTATCTATAGTTAGTTCCGATTGTGGTTGGCATTGCGGCTGTAGTGGCTGGTGCTGCAATCATTCATTATCTGCTCAATAAGAAGTCGTCGAAAAAGCGTCCCGAACCCAATCGAACTGCACGTCTGCGGACTTTAGTAGACCCGAATGACAAATATCAACTGCCACTAATTGAAAAGGAGGTTTTAAGCCACGACACACGCCGTTTCCGCTTTGGATTGCCATCCAACCAACATGTTCTTGGTTTGCCCGTAGGTCAGCATATCCACTTAATTGCTACCATCGATAACGAATTGGTAATTCGACCATATACGCCAATATCAAGTGATGACGAGGTCGGTTACGTTGATTTGGTCATTAAAGTATACTTTAAAAATGTGCACCCTAAATTCCCGGCTGGCGGCAAAATGACACAATATTTAGAACAAATGAACATAGGTGATAAAATTTCGTTCCGTGGCCCCTCTGGACGGTTACAATATCAGGGACAAGGCCGATTCCAAATCAAAAAGCTTCGCAAGGATCCACCAAAGACAGTTATAGCCAAGCGTGTAAATATGATATCTGGCGGCACAGGCATCACCCCAATGCTGCAGTTAATACGCGATGTTCTAAAGCATAATAATAAAGATAAAACTGAGCTCGCGCTGTTGTCTGCTAATCAGGTAGGATAATTTAATAGCTATTTATTTTAATATTTGTGTGGATTTTTTTCTTTATCTTGTACAGACTGAGGCGGATATTTTACTGCGTAATGAACTGGATGATCTAGTAAAAAGATATCCGGACCAACTGAAAGTGTGGTATACGGTTGACAAAGCTAGTGAAGGTAATACGAAAATTTATCATATAAAATGAACTACATACCATGATAAAAACATAGCAAGGTATAACCGTTCTCTCAATTTGTCGGCCATGATTTTTTTTTGAAGTTTGCCAACATTTTAAAATCATATAAATGTGAAAATAAAAAAATGAAATTGTTCGAAATTGTTGTTGCTTGAGATTGAAAATGAAAATGTGTGTGTGAGTTTGTGAGAAAATTTAAAAATTAAATTGTTTGGAAACGTCAAGAATTTTAAAAGTGACTCTCAGCGGTTCTACCTTACTATATTTTTATCATGCTACATACATACTTCTTTCCTACAATTTCCTATATTCATCCTTGGAGCAGATATTTTCATGAAAAATAAAACTGCATATACATATGTATGCATGCCCAAAACAGAAGCTTTGAAAACTATAAATATGCATTTAAAATTATTTAAAAAATCAAGAAATAGAATAGAGCGATACGATATGCGATACCATATGCGGCGTGATAGCAAACCGTGTCGCACGGCCGATACGCAAGCGATATTATGTCGCAGCAGTGTCGCCTTTTAAATTTACGTACACAGATATGACAAGCTACCCCAGTGCGTTTCGCCGTTAAAAATGGCGGTTCTAGTTAAATGTATGGAAAACCATATGTACATACATTAAGAACTTCTTATTTTTAATTTAAACTGATTTTAAATTTTTTCTAGCAGTTTTTGGCTTAAATCCTGTTTCCCTTGCAAATCGTATAAATAAATAATATGGGAGTTCACAAGGTGCTGCATGCTGTCGTATTGTTGTATGTCGTAAACTTCAAACGGCTAAAACAATACTTAAGAGATTCGTAACTTACTATAAAAGTCGTATTATGAAATTTCACACCGTTAAAAAATTGTTTAATGTGGTTTCAAGTCCTCTAAACATATATTTAGCCGTTAAATACTTCACGACTATATACTTTACAAGTATATACCGTTTAAAACCCCTAATAAAAATCCAAGATGAATATATATGTTTCATCATATCTAAGTAAAAGAAGTACTTTAATAAAAGTAACATGCTTCCTTAGTAAAATTAATAAGAAGAGATAAAAATACAAAATATAATATGCATACATAACTTCTGCAAACATTTACATATAATATATATCGGTCTCAGGAAAATAACAAACCCAACAAGCAAAGCAAACTTAAAATAAGATTTTTTTTAAGTTTACTAAAATAAATATAAAGCTTGCAAAACGATTATTCTTGGTTTATAAAATGCTTAAAAAAGCGTAATATAAAAATATCCACACACATTTTTAAAGTTAAAGTTAAAGTTTAAAAAGTTACATTTTATTTCAACGCCTAAGCTTATATCTGAACCTGCAGGATTTAAGCCTTCCTGTTTCATGTTGAAGACAGTCTGAAAAAATTGCATCGTCTCCACAAACAGTGCTGATCGTTTTCTTGAATATGAAAACAGACAACAAAATAAAACCCTGTGAGCAGATAAATGCAACAACCTGTATCAGACTTCGTCACCTAAAATGGGAAACACTGTATCTATTTTTTTTTTTTACATAAAACGACGTGAAATGCATCAAAATCAATCAAAAAGTAAATTTGGATTTTTTTAGTTACGAACTGTTGCGTTTCAGATGGCGGTTAGTTACGACTTTTTGCATATCAGGTGGCAATATGTAGATTAAGCAGCTTTTATTTTTTTATTTTCACATTTATACATCTTTTTGCGTGGGGATTTACATACATACATATTAGCGTGGGCTGAAAATCCGCTTTTTTATAATGTTGATTGGTAATAGCAAAAATATCGTTTATTATGCTCTAAAAAAATCTGTGTGCAAGATTAAAATTGTTGGTCAATATCTTAGGCTCGCCCGAGTCCATCAAAGTTCAAGTGGTAACAAAAATTTCTTAGGTTATTTGGATATTCTACAAAAATGGGCTATATACCAAAGTATGCAGGACTAATACTTTCGAAGATAATTACAATTTTAGTAAAAAAATTAATTAATTAATTTATTAATTTTTATTTTTTTGGGCACCTTGAACTTTGATGGACTTGGGCCAGCCAGCCTAAGATATTGACCAAAAATTTTCATCTTTCACACAGATTTTTTTTAGAGTATAATGAACCATATTTTTGCTATTACCAATCAAAATTCTAAAAAATCGGATTTTCGGCCCACGCTAATAAATATTCTCAACTCTTTCTTTATACTTAAATGAATTTTTGAGGCACACATGTGTATATATTCAATTTATTTGGAATGCTGCTTTTGGGCAACTTTTTCACAAAAGGCTGGGCCTATAGTGATGGATATGTCAATGATGAAATGATACGATCTCAACTTTTTCCACCGAGTTCAGACACTCTTTGTTTACTGTGCGGACCACCGCCGATGGTGAATTACACTTGCATACCTGGATTGGAGCGCATTGGCCACCACGCAGACATGCGCTTTAGTTATTAAACTAATAAAAATAGGGAGTTTAGTAAAAATTTCGCTAAATGCGTGTAGGGTAAATATTTTTATGTATAACTAATCCGTATACCTGATTACATGCCTAAATTAATTATTTACATGCGTAAATTAAGAATTTGAAATCAAGTATTTCGTAATAAAACAAGAGCTCTTTTTTTTATCATAAATGCAGGTTGGACCTATGGAGTGGGGTTCATAAACGAAGAGATGATTGGGCAGCATCTTTTTCCGGCCTCGGAGGATACTTTGGTGTTGATGTGCGGCCCACCACCAATGATTAATTTCGCTTGTAATCCCGCTTTGGATAAATTGGAATTCCATCCAGATACAAGATTCGCATATTAAATTCAAAGTGCATTTAAAGAATTGTTAAATATTAGGTCAAATTGCGTGGATAAATTAAGTGTTGCCAACGCAAATAATATGATCTATGTGCATATCTGTTTTATTTCGGCTATATGTATATTCAAAAGAACTTTCTATCAGAGTTGAAAAAATTGTGTTATTAAAATTAATTTAGAAACGCTACTTTTACCATCTTGCATACCTCTTCACCTATGTTTTTGCAACGGATTACAACACATTTTCTTATATTGAAACTTTTCGAACAAAAATAACTACATATATATTTGTGCAAATATTGTGAATTCATGATTAATACTAGGAACTGAAAAGAAGCTTTTGACGCAAAATGTAATTGTTAAATCGTTAAGCAAGTCAGAGAAATGGAATATATTTAGAATACTAATGAAAACAATTACTTCATTACTTGCTGTTTTCTTTTGTCGACATAGGTACGTATGTATGTATATGGGCAAATCTACAAAACAGGTAACCTTTCTGTTATTTAGCTTTATTTTCATTGTTGTAAACTATATCAGGCTGGCTGCTTTTGGATATAATTAATAGACGTATACTTGAAGCCTCAAAAAAATGTTTAAACAATTTGTTGCATAACTTTTGAGTTATAGATGTTTTAATTCAAAACAATATTAAAAACAAGTGAATTTTTTATGTAATTTTTAAGAGGTGAAAAATTAATTATGTCTATAACTTTTGAAGCACACCATATACTGGTTTGCAATTTCATGTGCAATTAGTACTTATGTGTACACTTCATATGTAAGTTGGTAACTAAAGTGTGCTTTAAAAAATAATTAAATGGCAAGTAACGAAAAGTGTGTAACTCTACTTTTCACAATTTTCAATTTTTTCGGTTTATCGCGAATAGTTTTTGATGCATGTCATTTAAAAATTTTTTTTGAGTATGTATTGTATTCTACAAACAATTACGAATAATTTGATACCTAAGCAAAATGTGTGCATTCAGAATAAACCATCTTTGAAAGATGAAGTATTCTGCGATCTTGCAAGTAATTTTTATTCCAAAAACATCTTAATTGAATGCACATTTGGAAAATACGTAGAAACGATCTAAACCTTTTTTTTACTACCTGTCCTTATAACATTACATATACCTGTAAAATGCTTCAAACAATTTTTACTAGAATTGTGTAAAACCCCTAATTTACTACTTTTAATGCGGATCCTTCTTGTAGTCCGAATATTTCGAGCGTGGTATTAAATCAACTTTTTTCGACAAATTTCTGATTTCTGATAGTTGCTCTTACTGAACTGGAGCCGTCCAAATTCAATGGCGTCCACAGTTTTTCCCGATTGGCTCCACTTTTCGAGATAGCTGTACTTGAAACTTTACTTACATTTTAACTATTTCATTAAAAACTCACCCAGTTTTGAAGATATTTTAGTAAAATTTTTCACAATTTATTTCCATGTTAAGTGAGTTTATCTTTCAAAATCTTTTTAATCAAAATGTACAACTTGCACAGTGTAATTTGAACCCAGCTTATTCTTATATATTTTTTCGATCTAAATGCTTATTCCTCGTCTAACTTTTGAAGCACTTGTTGAATATGAATTAGACTTAGAGATTACGAATAGAATCATATATAAAACACAGGTGTGCTGTCAAATTAAAATTTTTGTTTTGAAAGTGTACCTGTTTTTTTTAGATTTGCCCATATACCTAATAGGACATTCAATGCCCCGAAATCCCGGGATTACAGCTTCGGGATACTGAGGTTTTTACTGGTTCATTTACGGAGTGAAAGTGATGTTGATATCGCAAAATTAATTCACGTGCTTCGACATAAAAAACGGGAAATACAGTGCACCAAAATTTGGATTCAAAGTGAACTTGAGTTATTTTCACTCGGAAGTGAATTTCAAAACCCGCCTGAATAAATGTACTTGCTTAAACATTTTGTACAAGAACTAGGTAAAAACGAAAAACCTGGTAGCAGTTAAAATCACAAGGAGCTTTTACAGTAGACAGAGTATAAACGATTTATACAATAAATATGTGTTGATATTAAAGATAACTATACAAATATTTAACATTAAATTACGGCTTCCTTCACCAAGCTGCATTATGCTCCGCCTAACACCACATGTGGCGACAATAAATCTGTGAAATTAACTCATTCTTGATTGCTGAAAGCAGCGCGCTTCCCCACATTGAACGATTAGAAAACAGTTCGAATTCTAATGTGTTTCTCTAAGGTAGAAGGTTAGAAGACGATTAGAGAAGCTATCGAAAATTATAGCATTCTCTACAATAAGGGGACTTACATAGTTCTCGATATCGAGAAAAAATCGTTCTAACGATGAATTTTAATTGCTTTCTAATATTTAGTGGTTTTCTCATCATTCTCTAATCGAATTCTAACATGATTTCCGATGCGAGAACTACATTAGAATTCTAAAATCAATATATTTTTCTAACGTTGCACTGTGTTTGCTGGGTTACAGCAAAATGCAAAAATCGTGATAAAGTCAAAATTCCGGGATAAGAATTTTTCGTATCCCGAAATCCCGCGATTGTTAAAATGCTTCGGTATTGAATGCCTTAATACCTACATATATAGCCCACCGGTAATAGTTTACTTCAACCGTAATCACTTTTAAATGAAATGCATGAACCGGCGAATTGCTAATCCAAGAAATTTGTTCAACAAATTGGAGGTCGTTCATCCATTTGCGGGTAAATACATATGTATTAAATGATTTGTATAGCTGTATACTGGTACTCAACATTACCATACTTGACATTGACCTCGCACATTTGCTTTGAATGCGCATTGCTGAGTATGAGGAGCATAACAAAAACATTACATCGACCAATAAATTGGGTCTGTGCCATATGGATTTTTTGTTTTAACTACATTGGCACACTTATGCACCGCGTAAAATTAGTAAACATTTTCATATAATACACTTAATTATGGCCAGGAAATCTATACTGAAAATATTTGTATCATGGTAATCATTACTCCCAAATGTATAGGAATTATAAGAAACAAATTGAGTAAAATACTTTTAAAAAATTCTTTTATAATTGGTCTAAGAAATACATACAAAGATTCCGTTCCAGAAACATCGAGGGCATCCGTAAAAATGTAATATATAGCAGGGATGTTGCGAATATTTGCATTCGCATTCGTTATGCGAATGATTCGCATCATTTTACACATTCGCATTTACATCAAATGATACGAATGTTTTGCGAATGCGAATGTGTACATGGGCAGAGAGTCCACTCTAATATTGTTGAAATGGCTCTACATCTGTCTAAGCAGGGTGCGGACAATAACAGACTTTTAGCTTCAGGCGCTAAACGGTTAAGTAGTATATCAAGCAACATTGATGGGCCTTCAACAAGTACTGCTAAAAGTCTTATAAGCAACCTAGAAATAATGTTAGATTCCTCCAGTGAAAGCGAAGGCTCGGATGTAGAATCTGGAGACATTAAAAAATTTGAAATTAAAACTCAATTGAAGGTCTATCTTAAAGAAAAACGAGCCCATTTCGGTGAGAATCTTCTCGATTGGTGGTTCCAAGTAAGCAATTGTTCAGTGCAGCCGGCCTTATATACGAGCCTCTAAGAAATCGCCTCATGGGAGAAAGGGCAGCAAAGTGACTTTTTTTTTAAATACAATATGCCCCTTTTGAACTTTGACTACAAGATTAACACACTGTATCGGATAAGCACTCTTTTAATGTTGTAATAATTTACAAAATTTTTAAGTAATAAAAACGATGACTTAAGTTGATTATAGCTCAGGGCGCTCCAGCAAGCCTCTTTCTCTATAAGTGTAGCTAGATCCGGTATGCCTGTAAAGACTTCAACCACCTCTGTCGGGCACGTGCGCATGACCGCCGTTACGGCCACACAAACCAGAGGGGCTACTCTGTAATGCGATGCGAAAGAGAAATGCAAAATACATCGTAAGTAATACGCTGTGGCGATTGCTTATCGCATCGAATTGCTCTTTCGTATCGCATTACAGAGTAGGCCCCCAGGCAGTTCAGCTTACCCAGTGATGTTTCAGGTTGCTTGCTTGGCACTTGGCCACCAGGCCAATACGTTAGTTTAGGGGATATTCACTAAGTTTTACCATGTAGACTTCGACAATCGTAACATCCCCTCGTGGCTTTGTTGTTAACCCCTGTGAGTCCCAATTGGGTCTCTTATCTATTATTATGCCTAGATATTTCGCCTCTTGTGAGAACTCGAATCAGTTAACACAAAATGCCTCTGCTGTGGTTGAATGGTTGGGGCGGTCGCCTCTCTGCAGCCAATGACAAACCACAGAGTGTATATCTGCAATGAACAAGTTTCTTATAAAATCCACTTGTCGTTCAGAGGCAGCGCAGCGTAAAACTGTAGGCCCATCCATTTGTGTAACAACATGAAGATACATACCACAAATTGGAGGAGCTTGGCCCAAACACTTAGCAAAAGTTTAAGCGCCAAAATATTATTATTACACACAATTTAATTAATCATTCGGTAAAAAAAAATGTGTATTAGAATAGAACACCGTTGTCTATTTGTTAAACAAAATTGATTTGCCTCCACTGCTTTATTAGTTTCTTCACAATATTTTTCTTCAAGAACTTACCTATTAAATAAATGTTATTTGAATAAGACAAAACCGGTCCCATTACCGTTGCGATGCAATTTTTTCCTTGTTTATTTTATATAATTTAAGCAAATATTTTTAAGTTAAATTGTTTATTTTCTTATACAATTCGGGTTGAAGTGAGGAAAGATACTTATACGTACATACATAGTACGCCAATTTAATAGGCGATGCTTTAATTTGAGAAACTTATGAATCTGGTCATCAATTATAACTAAACATTTATGGGTCGATTAGGGTTTGCAACCAACCTTCAGTGTACTGCAAGTGGCTGATGGCAACTGAGTTGTTATATTGGCAACTGAATTTTTGAGGAATTGCAGGGGAAAATTTGACTGAGAAAATTTATTATTTTAGCAATTGTTCCAGCAGTCTTTTTACACTCAAGGATGGATCTTTAACTTTATAGCACTTAACTGCAGTTGCTACTCATAATATAAATTTTCATCCCACTGGCGTTACCCATCGGCGACCCAACTAAAGTGGCATTGCTATACATAATCGACCCATTACTTAGTTTACTCGTTGTTGTTTTTTTTAGATTTTATTTGAATTTATATTAAACCTATTATTCTAAAGCATGCAAGCACTTTTATATTAAATGCAAGCTATAGTCATCTTAAACAGATTCCAATGGTAGCATTAAAGAAATCGTCGGCTGAAAATTATTGGGCTTCAAAGTACACTGAGTTTTCTTTTTTATTCCTGGGAATCTGGTAAAATCGGCTTTATAAAATAAAAAAAGTATTCCCTGTTAACCTAAAACCTACAAAAATTATTGCGCACATTAAGTATTAGTTTTAATTAGTTTTTAATTGTTTTATAAAATTTTTAAATAATTTCACCGTTTTAAAATAATAGCTAGCATTTTATGAATATGCTTTTGTGCAGTTCATTTCACTAATACTACAGTAAAAAATATATATTCTAATACAAGGACAGAAACTTAAAAATATTGTGTAATACAATACATAGAATTTGAAGGATATTTGCCACAATCGAAACGAGTACCAAGAAAATACAGATACAGCTGTGTGCTCCTAATTAAAAACAAACACATGATTTGGATTTTTAAGTGAAATATTACTCAAAACAAGGAAACCGAACAAATTTCAAGAAGTGCATTAGGTTAAGACTGAACACTTCTCAACATTATATAAGTAGTTTTTGTTTAGTTTCCTGGAATAAATGTATTCACAGCACAGCGTTTTAATGTGTTAATCGTATATAGTTACCTTAATATAGAAATGTCCTATAACATTTTTTTTCTTTAGAGTAATTATAAAAACCAAAGTTACTCAGGTGCGAATTTATTGTAAACACTGGTTTAAAAATACTGAAAACTAATTTCATGATATAGTAGTTATTTTTGAATTATTTCTGGTCTTTGGTGAGTAATCTACTGATTTTTGTGTAAAACGGAATTTCGAAATGAAATGAGTTAAGACCTTTCTATATCAAGGTGACGATACGTATTATTCAAATAATGTGCACACAACCGTAATTCAGAACTTTTCAAAAACAGGAGTTTTTTGCAAACAACCCGTTTTTGACATATGTTACATACATACATACAAAATGAGTTTTATGAACAATATTAAGTCGTTCGATTGCTATATCAGATTTAAAGTTAAAGGCAAAGCCAAAGAGAATTAGATTAATCCGACTTTCTGTTTCAAAATTGTGGCTAATAAAAATCACACAAACAATGAAGGAAAGAAAACAGGATGTTAGGAAAAAATAAACGAAAACTTACATTCATAACCAGTTTCACGAAAGCTATTGAACGGGTGAGTTCGACAAGTGTACAAGCGCAAATACATTTTTTTGTGTTAAAATCAAAAGCCATACAACCAACGTACGCATGCCTAGCCGTTAACATAGCACAGCTGATTGCAATCGTAAAATGAGGATAAAACCCGTACATGTCCATGATCTTAACAGCAAAACTGATTTTGGGCTTGTGCGGTTGCCGAACTTACCGATTCAATTTAATTGAAAATTATTATTTTTAGTTAACCAATAAAATAAAAAAAAAAAAATTTTTCAATTAAATTGCTCCATGAAACTAGCCATTACAAAGTAAGCAAAAACTATTTCATTACATATTTCGGGGAGGGTTTGGTTGGAAAAAATTAAAATAAAGGATTTTATTTTTTAAAACTACAAACAGATACGTACAGAGTATATTTTCATTATATTTAAGCAACCGTTTTAAAGTTGTTTATCTTAATATGTTAATTAAATGTAAATATGCTCAACGTATGTATTTATTACAAGTTTATTTTATAAATTTAAATAACATAAATCAGAAGGTTAGTTACATAGTACTTTTTGATACGCATATCATATTTATATTTTACAGTGGTAAGTCTATATTCTATCGCTGCATGAACATATTTTCAAAAACGCTCCCGCAGAATTTTTCGTATATGTGTTCCCTTTTATTTTTTTTTGCGTTATCATAATTCGAAATCAGTTGCTTAAATAAATTATTTATACTCTGTATCCAAATAAAAATGGAAGGGATAACAGAAAATATGAACAAGGACTATTAAGCGTTTTTCAAACAATATTAAAAACTCCGAAAGTGGATTGATTTGGATCAATTGAACATCAGAGAGATCGCCCGCCGAACGTGTTCATTATTTGTACCGGATGTGGAATTTTCTTGCGTGTCTTCACATCTAACAAAAGCGTTGTGTTTGCGTAACAGAGCCTCAAAAGCTGCCTCATCGAGTTCTGCAGGCTTGATAGTAGATACTTTCTTGTATCTTAGAATGTGCAAATTTGTTAGAATTTTCATATATCCAACTAGTCTTCTATGTACATATATATAGTTATACTTACTTATCGGCTCTGTATTTTTCCTGAATGGCCTGCTGCGCTAGTTTTGTGGCCGCGTTGTGTGTCTTACAAAGGTGTAAAAATACTTCTTTCAGGTCTTCTAGAGAATATGATGTTACCTCTTCCAATTCACGAGTCCAAATCGCATAATCCAACAGGTGTCTCGACAGTGCAAGTGCTGCAGCGGAAATTAACGATGGAAGGAAACGCAAGTATGGGTCAGCTTCCAAAAGTGCTAATTCGCATATGTACTGCGCGTAAAGTGGAATAAGTAGTTTTAGGGGAATACATAAATGGATGGGTAAATTGAGAGTATCATTTACAGATCTATTCTCCAAAGTTTTGTTCGGTGAATAAAGCTCCTACATATTTATACATTCTGTTGCATTCGGAGCACTCTTAAAACCTGCGATATTTTAATGCAATCCCAGGGCTCGAATCGTCACATACGATATCCACGCGTAATCACGTAAAAAACGCATTTTCGGATTATGACATATGTACGTGAACGTACTCTTTATCCCATTCAGTTTATACGACTGACGTATCACGTAATTTTCTTCCGTCTGGTTTTCGATCCGTAAACGGATGCTTCGATTCGAGCCCAGAGTTACCAATGTAATCAATTGCGGTTAATAGAGATTTTCGGTAACTAAATCATCAGAAAGGAGTAGAATAGACCTGCGAATGGAATAGAGCTTACTTGAGTCAGGTATTTGAGCCTGTCTGTCATGTCCAGCAATACAGCATATGTGTTGATAAAAACATAAGCCGTTGGCGTGCATAAGTCAAAAGCTAAAATTTTTAATATAATCTGTTCCATTCGCAAAACTTGTGCTTTGTTGTAGGTGTCATCAGTGATGAATACGAACTCGCCGACGTCTGGCGGGTAAATTTCCTCGTATTTTCTAAGATTGAACGAGTAGAAAAGTGATAAAATTTATTGACGCATTCGAGACTTCTGATCTTAAACTTACGATGCTATATACATTGCTGCTGTGCCAACCAATTGCAATTTGCTGCGTACTACTGACATTTGGCTAAGGAAGCGGTCAATGTACGATACGGAAAGGTATAGGGTTTCTGTATCCAAATTGTATTCCTCAGACACTTCTACCAGCCAATCAACGAGAATTGTACGCATTGAATGATTAATATCAGCCTGGCGACGCATATAGTGTGGTTTAGGACGATGTTTCTTCTGTGAGAAATATTGAAATGGATGTAAGTGAAATTAATATTTTTAATCATAAGCAAGAGCGCCGCACTCAAAATCTAACAACCTTTAGAGCATTTATTAAAAAAAAAAAATAAAATAAATTTATCCCATTGAAACTTGATGCTGTGGCAACATACAAATACATACATATGTAGAATTTTGCGAGTATCTAGAGTTCTAGCTGGTGGTTTCCAGAAATTAACTTTTTATGTCTGTATTTTAAAAATTAATTTATAAAATATAAATTAAAATAAATATATAAATAAATAACTTTTTATGTGCACATACCTACACATATGTACATATGGACCCGTGTTTGCGATTTTATGGTAAGTGTGAAAGGGTAAATTTTACTGGAGAGGGTTTTTTAAAATTCTCCCTTAAACGGTGTAAAAATTTATTTGGATTTAAATGGACACCGACATTATCGACTGATAGCTTTCTAATAGGTCTATTTCGTCGTTTAAAGTATAAAACCGCGTAACTGACATTTGCTGCCGAAAATTGGATTTGCTCACACAAGCTCTTGGCTCAATCCTTATCCATTCGTCCTGAAATATACTTGCCAGAAATGCGATTGCTTTACAAAAAAAAGAGAACCATTTTGAAATATGAATGCTTTTACTAACTAGAAAATAATTAATGCAACCTCACATACGCGGTTTTGCATTTTGTTGATACGCGGTTTTGTACTTTAAACGACGATTTATTTTTTGCATACCTTATTGTATAAAGGTAAAATGGTCCCTACGATATTTTTCCTGAACATGCTGGAAGGTAAATTATCAAAGAATTAGTTCTCGCGATAGTTTTATGTTGCATAATCTGGAAATTTATACACAAAGGAGTGTGGGTACTTTAAGGATCGTCGTGTGTTTTTAAACCTAGTTATTGGATAAAATTTGCTAAACGAAAACTTATAATCTAGAGATTAAAATCAAAGACTGAAATTTTATAAAAAGGAAAGAAGACTAAAGTGCAAAAGTTTTGATAAGTAAAAGATATAAAATCAAAATCTTAAAATTGTAGGAACGCAAAAGTGTAAACAAAGTAAACGATAAAATTCCTTTTGCTTTTTTTTTTGTACCATACATAGTCAAAGGGTCTGACTTCCAAACGTCGATTGCATTGCATACGTACAAAGATGGAACATTATTCCATAACGCCGAACTACAATTGGCTGAAAATGCATACTTTTTCGAGTTATCGAAACGTAACGCCAGAGTAATCAGCGCATCAGAAACAAAGTTGATACTTCGTTTGGTTTTGGTCACCATTTGTGTTTTAAAAAAGCGCTGTAAAATCGAAAATTCCGAAATGGTGATCATTGTTTTGTTAAATATTCAATATCCAATGTATATGGTTGCAATGTTTCGCAACTCTGCCTATACATACAGTTTAAATACTGTAGTAGAACAGTATCCAAAAATTGTATTGGTACGTTTTGGAAGTCAGCCAGTCTGTAATTTTGTAGGACACTGTAAGTAGTATTTGTAACCTATTTGGTAGCCGCTACAACAACAACAACCTGTTTGCAACAAAAATTTTTTTTCGATAATTTCTCGCCTACGATAAAATCGCAAATAGGGATATGTAGCTGCAGAGCTAATGCACTTGATATCAGAGCCTTTGCAAGTGTCCTAGTAACCGACCAAACAGTCTTAATGTGTTCCCCAACCCATTGCCTTCCTTCTCTTTCACTTTATGAAGACTTTGCATTTTCAGCAGTAAGTGATTTTTAAATCAAGAGCTAAAAAATGTATACATATTTACATAAATACATAATTTTTATACTTTACTTATTTTCAAAATTTCAATATCTACTAAAATAACTACTGCTGCACTTGACAGACAAACGTCATAAATGTTGAAGATTCCAATTGTAACGAAAGGCGACATAAATGAATCCGCTAAACTACAGAGGCGTGCTCAATATGAAGAGGAACGGAAAGGCCGTATATTTAATGCAAAGCAGAGATTATTTGGTGTATGTTTTCAAAGTACAATAATAATCAAGCTTCTACATATATTTTCTTTATTCAGTTAGATTTGGAGGCTCTGGAACGTCAAATTGCTGAGAAAAAGAAACAACGACAGGTTGATGCGGAATGTGAAAGCCGCTATGAAGACCAGACACAACGTCAGCAACTTGCCGTTTACGCGAAATCACTGGAAATGGATAAACGGAAGCGTGTGGCCGAAGCAGATCTTAATTACTATCGCTGTCGCTTTCAGCGCAAAGATCAGCGGCGCGAATTCGATTTAAATGACCCGAACTGGATTAAGAAGGCCTTACCTGCGCGTGTAGCAGACGACGACACACGTCTGGGTATTTCCAGTGCCCAAGTTTTTTCCGGCGAAGATATTGGCCATAGCGAGCGTAAATTGCGACAACAAGCTCAACAACGTGCCTGGTTAGATCAGCAAGTCCAAGAACGCAAACAAGCCGAGGATGCCCGCATTAAAGCCGACTTAGTGATGCAAGAGTCAATAGCCTCACGCGATAAACGTCTGGAGGATATGGCAAACGCAGAACGGAAGATACGCAATCAGATGACTGCAGCCATTTATGATTTCAATTCGCAACTAGCAAAGTCTAAACGGTTCGACCGTGTTCGTTCGAAAAAGGAAAATAGCGAAGATGATCTTGCCGAAATCTATAATATGCTTACTAGTGATATGTTAACTGAAAATCCGGATGTTGCACAGTCGCGTACACATCCTAATAAGAAAATAGCATTTATGTATCGAGGTATGACCGATGATGAGCTGGTGAGCTTTCGTAAGGAGCAGTTACAACAAAAAATCCTTAACAAGAAGAAGCAAACTGAGCAGCAGCTCATGGACAAACAGTGGGAACAATATGCTCTTAATATGGATCGGGAGTTGATGTTAAAGCAGCTGGAGTTGGAACGCAAACAAAAGCAACTTTTGGATGATCATTTACGCCACAACGCTCGACTTGCAGATGAACAAAGAGTGCAAAATGATATTACAAATAATATTTTAAACAAAAATTACGTATCTAAGGAGTTTTATGATCAGTTTAACAAAACTTCACGTTAAAATGAGGATTATTTGTTCAAACGATTCAAAATTTATCATGAAAATTTGCATCACATTCAGATTGATTTACGACTGGTGTATTTAGAGATAAAATATGACTATTGCTTATGCATTTAAATATACAAAATTGAGTATATCGTAGATATGTAGATGTGCACCATTCGCTCGAGAATCATTATGTATTTCAACCAAGTTAAACACACACATGTATATGATAAATTTCATCTTTTGAGTGGAACAGGAATCAAAAGAGAATATGCTTGCTTCATGCATGACAATGTTTTACGACAGCTGAAGAAATCATCCCTTAATATGTTCTGCAATGGGGAACAGCCGAAGTGGCGGGAAAGCATTTGAACACAAGAGGGCGAATAGCGAAATTTGTTTATAATGGGCAGTTTTTGTTGTATCACTTTGAAATTAGTTCTAACAACACCTCCATTTTATCATTGACATTGCGCCGTACTGAATATTGAACGAGCAAGACAGACAGTGTTGCCATTTTGGTGCTTTTGCAGCTAGATTTAGCTCTTTATTTTTCTATTTAGCTGCGAAAATTGGGATTTAGTTCCTAGCTCTTTTTTTAGCTCTTATCTCGCACTTTTTTAGCTCCAGAAAGTTTTAGTTGTATTTGGCTATGTATTACAAATAAAAATCTGTAATTTCAGTGTACAAGTGTTGAATAAAAATCATTTGGCTTTGGTGATCTCGATTTGGCTTTGGTATTTCGATTAATACTTAGAAAAGTTTCATTCCTAATGCAAATGGCTCGCATGCAAATGGACAAAGTAAGTCGATTAGTTTCTATCACGTGCGCGGGAGCACACAAACTATCCCTGGCAGTAATTCGAGCTCCGATAAGCTAAGACGGTATATTCTTTCTTAGGCGTTCACGGTAGAAAAGGAAAGCCAAAACGCAAGCATTGATAAAATTATAACTTTTGAAACGCAGTGGAAAAACGAACATTTGTATTCACGGGAACCTACAGATTCCATCTTAAACTCTTGGATTTAGGTTAAAGAATTCAAAAATTAATTAGAAGAAAATCCTTTTTCTGAACGCGCGGTTTTTGTTTTTACCTTACTAATTTTACCTTAATGCCTCAAGCTCAAAAAAAATTGTTGAATATAATTGTTATAAGGCCATAAAATAACAAAAACAAATTAAGGAGAGAATGAAATAAAATTTTCCAGAAAAATTTTGCAAAAAATGATTCACAACCCGAGTTTTTATGGTCAACTAAAATATTTCAGATTGCAGATTTTAACAGCTTGTTAAGTATTTTTTAGAGAATCGTTAAGTATGCGCATGTGTTATAAGTAGAGTCCGATCGATTTATCGTACGTCGTTACTCTAAGTATTGTTACGATTATCCTTGAATTAATCCCTGAATTCCGAAATCCTTCGGGTTCTTTTTACTGGATTGTTAAATTGTTTACGTTATAAAAATACTTTTATCATTAAAAATCTACGGTTACTGTTTATTAACAAATTGTATTCAACCCAACACATTTACAGTCAGCAGAAGCTGCATATATTTACTACTATGAATACAACTAAAAAATGTGATTTCAAATGAACTATGTTTTTTAACATTGAATAAGAAAAAGACTATGGAACAAAGTACTGCAATGATATATGTACTACTTTTGATACATATTTATATATGTACATAAATAGATTCTTGAATGATTATTTGCTTTGTAATATTGTTTTCTTATGTTTTTCTTTTGTTACTATTAAAGTTTATCAAAAACATTTGTTCTTGAATGAATTTATATTCAGGTAGTTTTTTTAAGGAATCGGCATCGGCCAAAAATTGGGAATCGGTCGGACTCTAGTTATTTATAAGTGCTGTAACAATTCATTTTATAAAATTCGTTGCATTTATTAAAATTACGGAAAATGTAAAAGCAACTTTACGTCAATAAATGCTCAACTTAAAAAAAATTAGCTCTACATTTTAGTTACTATTAGCATTATTTAGCGCTTTTTAGCTCTTTTTTCGACCGATTTAGCTGCAAACAAATTTTTTTTTCTGGCAACACTGAAGACAGAATTAACAAATTCGATGTCAAAAGAAAATAAAGTCAGCTGCTAAGTGGCTCGATTGAGGCACATCTCCTACTCAGCCGCCGCTAAACATTTTCACGTTTTAGGAATGTTTTAAATTTACCTCACTTTCGAGAAAATATTCCAAAATATTCCTTTGGTATTCCACTACTTCAAAGAAACGTTGACGGTCATTACGGGGTACGAGGTGCCGCCGTTCCCGCTCTTCCTCTTCGATGGTTAAATCAGCGACTTTTTTGTCGTCATTGTCATCATCCAACAATTGCGAATCGGATGGTTGAGTAATGCCAATATGAGAGCGATCAACCGACATCGGTGAAAGCACCTCGGAAACGGACATCGGTGTGGTATCCAAAGCGCATTCATCATTAACACTATTCTCCTTTGTTGAGGATTCACTGAAATAAAAGCAATGATAATAAAAAATTTAATCAGAAATATTTAGCTATCGGCATTTCCACTACAGTCGGGTATACGTAGCCGGAACGACCCAGATTTATATCTGGCAATGCAACGTTGCATAAGGCTGCTTGGGGAATTTTGGAGCTCTTACAAGCACACATTACCTAAAATCGTTTTTAATGTGACGGCTTTGTTGGACTGTGTAAATATTTTCCTTTTCTGTCTGTGTGATTTCTGTAGATGCAATCGC